CCATTCTTCTCAGGCTCACCATTCTTCTCAGGCTCACCATTCTTCTCAGGCTCACCATTCTTCTCAGGCTCACCTGGCGTCCAATTTTAAATTCTAAGGGACTGTTAGCGTAGTATCAAGTGATCCTCCATCACCTTCCATGAACATGTCCGATTTACAACTGTACCCTTTAAACCTATGTCTTATCATAGAAAAGTGAGATATTCTTATTTTCCCGGCTGAAAATGTATTATTTCAAATGTGGTTTTCAGTAAAAGTATATGCTGAATAGTCAATAAAGGAAGGTTTTCAGAATTAAAAATAGGAAATAACGATATCTTCCTCATTATATATATTACTCAAATAAAGGTTTAAAGGACAAAATAGTGAAATCGACGGTCCATTAATATGACGTTCATGAAAAATAATGCATTTACAACGTTTTTTCAGTCTGTTCAATCTATGCAAGAAATGTATAAAAAAACTTATAATTGATTCATACTTAGGTGTGCACTGTACACAAATACAAAAAGGAAACGCGTTACGATAAGAAAAAATGAATGCAAACATATCATATTGACAGAATTTCACTCATTTAAAAAAATTCAAATGTCTAAAAATATCTTTAATTTTCCTACTTTTTGAGTAAAAAAGCTTATCTTCATATCATACATATATCTTTGGTTCAACACATTTATTTTAATATTATATTAAACTTATAATGAAATCTTATTATTAATAAGTCCTAAAGTTTAGAAATAAATTGTGACTTTTTTACAAATGTTAAATTACTTAAAAACTAGAAAACAGGAATATGTAGAAATTTTTTATCTTAAATGAATAATAATTATCATTAGTACAACATTTTTAAAAATGCCTTTTTGAGATCTTCACGATACTTCTAAAATCATGTTACAATTTACACGTCCATTGTTTTTCTTCTATTATTATAATAAAAATAAAAATGTAAACAACAATTTTAAGAAAGTTTAATCCTTTCAACGAGAAATCTACATTAAATGAATGAAAATGAAGGTATCTTAATTACGTCTAATGACGTAACAATTTTTGATTTCAATTCCATCAGAAATGACTAATCCTTGTCTATTATCGGCTAGACTGCAGATTAAGCTATTTCCTTTTGAATATCTCTAAATGTCCGACTAAGAGTTAGAGATCTCGGAAATAAGAGTCAGTGGGTTAAGCACTTATTCACTTCAAAGGAATGAAGTCTTTGTCGCAAACTCAAATTTTCTAATCCCTAAATTTTTGGAACATATTGGTATACACCTTTGATATTTCTAATTTAGATTATTAAATCTATCATAATTCATGGCTTGAAATATCTACAGTCTACGACATTGGGTTGCAAAGATGTAAGGATTAGAAAATATGAGTATGTCGTAAGAACTCAGTTTCTTTAATCGATTAGATTAGCGCTCTCTTCTGCAAAATTTCCAAACGCATTACATCTGAATGAGCGTGACCTACCATGATACAGAAATTTCGACCTTTGTACATCTGAATGAGCATGACCTACCATGATACAAAAACTCCGACCTCTGTAAATCTGAATGAGCATGACCTACCATGATACAAAAATTTAATTTCGACCTCTGTACATCTGAATGAGCGTGACCTACCATGATACAAAAACTTAATTTCGACCTCTGTACATCTGAATGAGCGTGACCTACCATGATACAAAAATTTAATTTCGACCTCTGTACATCTGAATGAGCGTGACCTACCATGATACAAAAACTCCGACCTCTGTACATCTGAATGAGCGTGACCTACCATGATACAAAATTTTCGACCTTTGTACATCTGAATGAGCGTGACCTACCATGATATAAAAACTCCGACCTCTGTAAATCTGAATGAGCGTGACCTACCATGATATAAAAACTCCGACCTCTGTAAATCTGAATGAGCGTGACCTACCATGATATAAAAACTCCGACCTCTGTACATCTGAATGAGCGTGACCTACCCTATAATGAAGTTTGGCCACAAATCCTTCCACCACTGGTTTATCATCCCCTGAACTAGGATTTATAAAATCCTTCAATCCTCCGAATATATGAAGCATGATAGTTAAACTACAGCTGGGAGCTCCACTACCAACTCTACACCTGTAATATTTAGTTCAACTAATTATTCTTTACTCAAGCACAGGTGCGGCATATATCAAAAAAGTATGATGTCTTTTTTATACAAATATCCGGGGTATTTCAGAGAGTTCCAAGCGGGAAAGGCCTTGCTGATTGATTGATTGATACTGCTTTAATTCTATTCCGATGTTGCTTTAAAAAATTTCAAATTACCCCCGATTCACAATGGTACCCTAGAGACCTTTATCTGCGCAACAAGGAGGAAGAAATGAAATATTCTGAAAATTTTCTCCTTTGCGTCTGTTGCATAAATCCGAACAGAAGACGACATTATTGCAATACTTCAGTGTGCTTGATGTTGTTACAAAGTAAATCGTTTTATATTAGACAGTAGACACTTATTAAATCAATAATGTAGTGAAATGAGTCTGTTTACACTGCACAATTACTGTGCCTCATGCTTTTAGGATTTTTTAAAGTTATAATTGGATTCTAACAGTCTATTTCTGGTTTTCACTATAAATAACCCATAATTAAAAAATATCAATTTTCAGATGTAAAACAAAGATTTCTTTACGAAGGTTCAAAGGGTGCATGCTCCTCTATTAAACAGAGGGTCACATTAAATTTTTTTAATCTTTTTAAAACCCTTTTTACATCGTATCTCGTCTTCAATTAAATTAATATTTGTAAATTATATTGATTTTACGCACGAATAAACGAACAGTCCTTTAAATCCACAAATCAAAAGATTATTCTTCTGGCATAAACTGCAAACGTCCAAATAAAAACCATGGATATACATGTTACAATATTCAGTTCTAAATTTTGTAAAAACTCCTTTTGTTCAACACATACTGTATAAGATTATTTTGAGTACTGTTTCTTAACAGAAAACAATAAGACTGCAGTGAGTTGATAAGAATTTGACAATGAGTTTGTCTCAGATGTTATCAAACCCCCCCCCCCCCTAGATTGGGACATTTTTAGCCAAATTGTGTGAACAGAGATTGATAAAGAACACTTTATTTAGTGAATTCGAGCTAGTAGGCTGAACTACGTCTATCGTCGAATCAAATAATAATCTGTAGTTCTGTAGTTACATCTATAGGACATGAACAAATCCAGAATCACCGTTCTAAGATACGTGGTTTAACCGTCTCAAGACCTGGCTCAAATTTATAAAGTCCAGTCCCTGGTGGTGTTATTGGCATATTGGACAACCATAAAGCAAATAAAGCAAATAAATAAAGTAAATAAGATATTTTTGGCTTTAATAGAAAAACATCTTTTAAAACTTGGGACTTTATGCGTATCTTCTTGAGATAGTTGAACGATCCCTTTAATAAGAGATTTTGTTTTTTATTCTTATTTTATTTTTGGACGATTTCAACACGTGACACAGTTTTACTGCGTCTTAATTTTCCTTTTGTTCTTGTTCAAAATATATTATCAAATTTTATCAATCAAATTAATCTTTTTGCAACGCAATGGGAATTTTTTCTAATTGTATCATTTCATGGAGAATACTGAAATTTTACACAAAGGTTTGTTCAAAAAAAATTGCAAACAACAACAAAATGTGATTAATAAAAAAAGTATTTGGCTCTATTAATGAATTTCTTTAACATTTTTTATGTTTTATGTTAACTAAAATTTAAGTTTATTGGGGTCGTTGTTGTTTTATATCATAATTTCTTTTTAACTAATATTTCAAATATTGATGTTTATTTTCATTTGTTGATCAATGTCTGTAAAGAAAAACTCATAAATTTATATTTTCATGTGTAAAGAACATTTAAATGAATTATAAATTACATTTATTAATCAAATCACAAAGATCGTTATTAATTTCATTGTAAACACAAGGTATAGGAACATTTATAAAGTTTATTTATTTGGCACTTATTTTTAGATAACACTATTTGATAAAATAGTGGAAAATACAGTAGTTTGCACACTCCCATTTTATATCTTAAGGACATGGTAAGAAATGTAGTACTTGTTGATAACTCATAATGTATCTACGAGCGTTTTCACGGATAAAATACAGATTTAAAACGGAGTTTTTATCTTATATCCCGAACATATTTAGATCTAGTTGGTTTTTCGTGAAACGATATAAGTTGTTAATTAGTATTACTAAGGACAGCTGCAGAGGCGCAACTAGGGGGGGGGGCGGCCGGGCGCGCGCCCTCCCCTAGTACCTGAGAGGGGTGGCGCCCCCCCCCCTGCAGAATGAAAAGATAGAAAGAATGGCGAAAATCAGTATCACAGGAATAAGAAAACCAATATTGTAGAAATTTTATTATACTATAGTTAGTTTTAAAAAGAATATTTTTATCTTTCTCAATTCTCAAGGCTAAAGGCTATTGTAAACATTTAATGTAAAAAAAGTTCTGAACTGTATTTTATTTGTGTTGAGTTTATAGAGTACTCGTAGATATCAAACTTTGAATTCTTATGGTAAAATATTCCAAGTTTGAAATATCAAATGTTTACACCACTCGGTGCAAAGATTTAGGGATTAGAATATTTGAGTTTGTGGCAAAAACTCAGTTCCAAATCTAGAGAAAATTCTGAACCTGGCAAATTTCTAACTGCTTATCATATTTGATTAACAACATTTATCTTCTTTGACAGAAGTTCTGTAAAATCGAAAATGAATTTAGATTATGAATGTTGGTTAGATCAATCATTAATTCAATAACTTCAAGAGAAAAGGTAACATTATCTGTCCTTTTTCAATGTATATGATTGAAATTATTATTTACCTATGTATTTTTATATTTTTTTTCCAGAAACAATAAATGATTATTTCTTGCAATTTAATCTGTAATTAAACCAGTTACTTAAAAATACTCTTTTACGATTCGCACACATATTCAATGAATTGACTCGTATCATTCATTTTACAGCTGTTGGAAGTATAAATTTTGTAAAAACACAAGAACAACAAATCGATTTGAATTGAACACAGCCAAATCTGCATGCAACAACTTAAAATTTCCTTTTTTCGACTTCAAACCCTTTAAAAAGCACTTTTGTTTTTGAAAATTTTCGAAAAAGGGGGGGAACCCCCCCCTTAACTCCCCCCAAACCCTAAAAAAATAATATATTGCCCCCCCCTAGCCAAAGTCCTAGTTGCGCCTCTGGACAGCTGTAAATTATCAGATTATTTTTCTATTCGTTTTTTAAACAATGAAGAAATTATTTTAACAGTATACAATTTTTCTTTCTGTAAACATGATAGCTAATGATATTTTATGAAGCTCAGAAGATTTTAAAGTTTGAATATATTTTAACACTTGGCTAATCTAAGATTAAGGGTTTTTGAGTTCTGTTGAAATGTTTGATAAATAAAAAAGTTAAAAAAACTTAATATAATTTTTTTTCGCTTTAATTTTTATGACTTGTTTTTCTCCTGGACTTTCTTTCCATAACCTGCTCCTCTTCCTCGTTCTCATCCTCCTTCTCTTCCTGCTCCTCCTCCTCTTCTTCTTCCTGCTTCTCCTGGTGTCTAAGCTCTGTGGTTGTGTCGTTGTCTAGGCTTATTTTGGAACTATGAATGCTGGAAGAATCGTCCTCCTTGAAGTTTTGTATCCGGATCAAAGTTCGGAAATCTCCTTTCAATTTCTCATGTTCGAGCCCTAAAAACATCAAAATACCAATGAAAAACTGGGTTCTTTTTAATCTGAGATTTTTTTATTAGATCACATAAACTATTTTACCTAAATCTTCGAATTCTCGTTTCACGAATTCTAAAAACAAATGTTTTAGTTGACAATCTTGAAATGTTTATTTAGGTTTCGCTTTAATATTCAATAATCAATACAAAAAACCTTACCCAAATTATCTTTCACTAAAGAATATTCAGATTCTAGGAGATCAGAAAACGTCAAAAAAGTTTTGGGTTTTTAGAAGATAGAGATTATAATTATAATTTGATCAAAGATCACCAAGGGAAGAAAGGGTAAAAATTAAGGATGAAAAAAAATAAAATAAAGCCATTAAGAAAATTGGAAAAAATGATGATTTTACCAATTTTCCAAATATTAATGGACCGTAAAGAATGAATTACCCACAATCGAGGACACTTCAATGACAATCTAAAACTAGTTTAGTTTACCCATCTGGATTTCGTAAATAATGTAGTAATTGTGTTTGCAAATAAAGAAGGAAAGACCCAATATAAAATTGTTTTGAAGCAAGATTTTTAAAAGTATTCGAAGACGCAAGGATGTAATGCAAGGAAAGTTATTTCAGAAGTGTACACATCTTTTGTACTGTCTCTGGGCGGTAATGTAACCACAAGACGGATGTCGAAGCCTGACATGGGATCCTTCTTTCACATAAAAATCAATGAAATATACTGGTCAATGGAAACTATTATGTTAGTTATCAAAATTATCAAAATTTAATGCTTTTAACTTCCTCGGATACTAAACGAACACTGATGCATCTATTCTTATTTACAAATTCCGTCCAAAGAGAACTAACTGGTTTCAATATGTACGCAGAGTATACACGACCTCAATTAACTTTCCTTGCATTAGTACCTTGCGAAGACGTTTCTTCTTTGTGAGTATCCCTGTAAACCTCATTGGAACTGTTGTTGTGTCCATGGATAAGAACACGCTCTTTGCAACAAAAAAACTTCTTATTTTAAAGAAATGAAGAAAAAATGTGAATCAATAGTTTGTTGACATTATTCCTAATTCTTCTAGTTTATCCAGCAATTCTTTCCTCTCTTCTTCTAACAATCCTTTCGCCCTAAAATCAATCAAAATCAATTCAAAGCATCAATCATGATCAATCGATTGATTTTTTTTACCTGTTAGTAAATGATAATTGATCACCAAGTTTTTGAATCACAGCATTTTGACTGTTTCTTCTAAACAATTAAATTTAAGATTCGGGATTTTTACCATTTTTAACTGTAGGAAATTATCTCATTGATATTATCATAATCAATGTTATTGAATCAATATGGACGTTTTTAAATTTAACTGCCTCTAAGTTTCTATTCCTAGCAACCTGAGATGAGATTTTAAAAGCTTAAACCCGAGTGAAACCAAGAGATAGGCTCAGATAGAATCCAGAGTTTGGCTCAGATAGAACCCAAGTCAGGATTGGCTCTGATTAGAGACTGTTTAGAAAGCTTATTCTCTGTGGCAGACAGATTACTACAGTGAAACCCTTAATAACGAATACATCGAAAGAATTCATCAAATTTTGTATTCTTCACTTTCTGATTATGGAATGTTGCAGATATTTAGGTTTCTAATTAAACAATTATATGGAACTCTTAAAAACTGTTCCCGCATAGTCATGGATATTTATTTATTTTCTCAAATACTGAAATTTACGAAATATAGTATAAAACTCGTTGAAAAATTGGCAAGACGTCATTTGATATTAAGGGTTTCACTGTAGCAGATCAGCTGTGAACTTTAAGTGGATATACATTATTTTTACATTATGATTTTTTCATACCTTTGATCAAATTTAACACTACAAATAATTCCCGAGATTTTAAATGTACAAATATAAAAGTTTTTTTCAAAATTTAAGATTATCAGATGCTGAAGACACGAACCTTAAAGAGAGAAAAAAAACAAGGTGGTTGGTTTTTGCTAAACTCAAGGCCATCTAAAACCCGGGTCTTGACTTGAGCTTTACTTGGGTCTAAGCAGACGCAAAGACCGGGTTTTACTTGGGTTTAAACTTTTAAAATCACCTTTGACATTTTTTAATCAGTTCTGCAGGAGCAAAATCAATGCCATATAATTTCTATCTGTTAACTTTTTTGTTGAATAAGATATTTAATTGAATTGAATTCAAGGTTATTAATTCCTATTAATCCCACCAATTACTAAGCTTAAAGGGACTGATTAGGCATGTTCGAAAATTAGAAAAATGAAATTATTTGAGTTTAACACTTTTCCAGATGATATCTTCATCATTTTTCCTCAGATAACGGTTTATAATACTATACGCTGTGAATAGGACATGCCACTCTAGAAATGGGGATTCCCTTGAAATCACGTGAACAGTCCCTCTCCTACCTTGAGATATGGTTTGCAAATCTACTTTTGTAAACTGGGATATCCGGTAGGGAAGTAACACTGCAGTGCTGCAAACAGAAACATTTGTATATCCTTCATCATGCTAAAATGTTTTTTTAAACATCAAAATAGAATTGAAGAAGAAAGGCGATTAAATTTTTAATAATGAATATATTTAAGTAAGGGAATTTAGTCTTTACCGCAAACTCTAATTGAAATATAACCACCATCATCAGGTTGGAGAGATATAGGTATTAGAATACTTAAGTTTGTTGCAAAGACTCAGTTCCTTCTAGTGTAAATAAAAGGGAAAAAAATTGTATATAAACTATATCTACTGTATAGATACTCATTATGTATGAGAAAGTCACCAGACTAAACATGATTTGTAGAGAACGTTTCATATTAATTTTCTTTGAATAGAAGGCAAAAAAAGAGAGCATCGTTTAATTTATTATACCCCCTTTCCCCTGAACAGTTATCGGAAGGGATCTCTTTAATAATAAAAAGTAAATTTTCTGTTTTCCTTCGCTATGTTTAGATTAGATCTTGAACTTGATATCTGGGTTCTCCTCGCCTCGTACAGATCATCCTGAAAGAGACTATATACGATATTTCAAGTTTATATAGTGGCAGGTCCAATTCAAGAAGGTACCGTTGAATTAAATCAAATTAAAAATACATCTTTTTAACCATGAAAATTGGCTGACTTCTGGTACAGAAATATTGGAGCAAATTACCGAATTAAACACTTGTTAAAAAACGACGATATCTTCTACATTATTGATCAGATAAAGGATTCAAGGGGACCGATGTGAATTGGGCATGCCTTTTTTTTAATGGTGGGTCACATAAAATTAAATAAACCATCATTAACCTGAGCTGGGAACTTTTAATCCCGACTTCTTAATCCGAATATCCAATGTGGACACTTTTAATCTCTTGCTTGATCCACTCTTTTTTGGATATATTACAGAAAAATCAAACACCGGTTTTTTTAAATTAAAGAGTCCCTCCCGTTTCAGTAGATACATCTTAAAATGTCAATTTTCCCGGCTTCTGATACTCGACTCTGATTGGTTGAATTTTATACAGGATACAAGTACAAGATTAGGTTAGTCTCGAGATTAAGAAAAAGAGAGGATCAAGCATTGATCTCGATATCCACCATTCTAAAGTTCCCAGCTCTGAGCTGAAAACTTTAGAATGGGATATCCTTAATCCCGATCGGTTAATTAATCCGGAGATTAATAACAAGAGGAGAACAAGCATTATTTAATCTCAAGATTAAGAAAAAGAGAGAATCAAGCATTGATATCCACCATTCTAAAGTTCCCAGCTCAGGAGTATCCTAATTAGAATTGGGCAAATTAAACGACCTTTGCGATCTCACAATTCCTCTAGTTTTCATTTATGCGAAATTAAAGATTATGAAAAGCCAACATTTTTAAAAGAATTTGCAATTATGAATAGCTCGCATAAAAATTAAGTTTTTAATTTCTAAAACAACACTTAGTGACATTTTTGTATAACCAATGAAAAGCTTACAAAGGCTGGTACCATTTTATCATATTTTTAAAATGGTTTGGGTTACCTTAAGTTTATCAATAACTGATAGATTTGCATTATTCTCTACCCTGAGATCTTCAAGCTCTGTGCTCAACTCTGTTAACTCAACCTGGACAAATAGTAATGTTTTAGAGGGTCCTTTTTTAAATATTGTAAAATACTCAAATTATTGGAAAGACAAAAATGTTGCCAATCAATGACGTTTCTTAGGACTTTTTGTCAAAAAAAAAGCAATGTGGTTTTGGTAAAATTTGATAACACATTGTTAATCTCAAATATTTTATAGTTATGTTAATCTTAAATCATATATTTTTCACATTGATGGTTTATTTCATTATTTTAAATTAAAACAAAATGCTTACTCTGACACAAAGTTTCATTCTTCCAAGGTTATTATGCAAGGAAAGTTAATTTCAGTTGCGTATACTCTGCGTACATTGAAACCAGTTCTCTCTGGGTTGAATTTGTAAACAAGAATACACGCATCAGTGTTTGTTTAGTATCCGAGGAAGATAAAAGCATTGAATTTTGAAAATTTTGGTAATCGCATAATAGTTTCCTATGACCAGAATATTTCATTGATTTTTTATGTGAAAGATGGATTCCATGTCAGGCTGTGACATCCGTCTTGTGTTTACATTACCGCCCAGAGACAGTACACTGCAGTACAAAAGATGCGTACACCTCTGAAATAACTTTCCTTGCATTAAATCATTGTATTATTCAATCTGTTTAGGGACTTTCATCGCAATTTTAAATTTGAAAAGGAGCAGGCCCAAGTTCACTAAACCATGGATATCTAATTCATACTTGTTTAAGGGTACCATTGAGAATCGGACATGCCACTTTATCAATGGAGGTTCACTTGAAATTACTTGTACAGTCCCTTAAAGAGGTAAGATTGGCTTAATATTCCTATAACTCTAAAACACACTATGGGTCGACATTTTCACTTCCCTCATATACTGTATAATATTTAAACGGGCAGGAGTTCTGTTATAACAGTATCCCTCTCCACCCCTTCCCTCATATACTGTATAATATTTAAACCTGGAGTTCTGCTATAACAGCATCTCTCTCCTCCCCTTCCCTCATATACTGTATAATATTTAAACCTGGAGTTCTGCTATAACAGTATCTCTCTCCTCCCCTTCCCTCATATACTGTATAATATTTAAACCTGGAGTTCAGCTATAACAGTATCTCTCTCCACCCCTTCCCTCATATACTGTATAATATTTAAACCTGGAGTTCTGCTATAACAGTATCTCTCTCCACTCCTTCCCTAACACTATCCGAACACTTAGTCTGGAGTCGAACTAGTTCTCTACGTAGAGATTTTACCTAGAAATATATATATGTACAAAGGAATTGAGTCTTTGCCACACACCCTTCTTTTTAACTCCTAAATCTATAAATGTCGTAGACCTTAGATATTTCAAACTATGAATGCTGTTAGATTAAATAGTCTGAGTTAAAAAAATCAAAGGTATACACAATCAATTTGGAAAGATATAACAATTAGAAAATCTGAGTTTGTGGCAAAAGACTCAATTTCTTTAATTCAATAATACAAGGTGTATAAAAAACAGGAAAAAACATGATATTAGGTGTTTCAAAAACGATACTTTAATGAAACAATATTACAGATTGTGCTAAAAAAGAAATTTTGATTAAATAAAACAGTATAGATATATCAGAAAAGAAAGTGCAATCATATAAGACAAGGTGTTTCAGAAACGAACTTTAATCAAATAATGCAGGGTGTTTCAGAAAATAATACAATTTTATTTTAGTCCGTTGACTGATTGTCCTATTGTAATGTTTTTGAGATTTACAACCTGTTTGTTTGCATTTAACGAATTTTAACAAGATTAACAAAAATAATGGTTCTGGACATCCTGAAACGTACTAAACCAAAGTCACATAAAACATCCTAAAACACCCAAAAATAGCTATTTAAAAAATTATAATGACCTCACTGTATTCCTTCCTTGATATTCTTGTGATTCTCTTGCTTTCTAGTTCTTCTATCTCACTGTTCAAGGATGATCTAGGATTACATAATCATATGATAGATTATTCAATTTTAAATGATAATTTTTCTATAATAAAAATCTGCCAGGCTAATTTGGACTTTTTCCACACTTTTTAATTTAGGAAAATTTGAAATGAGTTACCTGGAATCATATAGAGAGGATGGTGGAGGTTCTATATGGTTTGTTTCATCCTAGAAATAAAGCAAAAAGCTGGAGTAGGAGTAGGGAGAAGGAGTAGGAGTAGGAGTAGGAGTAGGAATAGGAGTAGGAGCAGGAGTAGGAGTAGGAGTAGGAGTAGGAGTAGGAGTAGGAGTAGGAGTAGGAGTAGGAGTAGGAGTAGGAGTAGGAGTAGGAGTAGGAGTAGGAGTAGGAGTAGGAGTAGGAGTAGGAGTAGGAGTAGGAGCATAACAAATCATAACCTTAGGTTGTATCTTGATATCTCTATTAGGAGGAGGACCCTGAGTAGGAGAACCCTTCAGAGAACCGAAAACCTAGATTAGAAAAACTTTAAACACGGCAATAAAGATATTCTAGTTTAATGTTTAGTGAGCTTTTACTTTCTATACAATGTTAACCCTGAAAATGTAGATTTTTCGGGTTTTTAATTTTACTTTGATCGATTTCAAATAATTGTTTAATGGTTTTAAACCCACAATCAATAAATGTATGTGTTCGGACATACTTAGCTATAGCGTGATGTGAATAAAAAATAATAGATTCAAAAATGTCTTTGGTTTCTATTTTTAGAAATACTGGATTATGTGTTTATTCAATTGTTATCTGCATTTTTTCAGATGGAAGTTGGAACCTTCCTTCATAACATTTATTTCTGTGAAGATATTAATTTTAAAAGTATTTTTTATATTTTAAATCACACGGAATTAAGACGAGAAAAAAAATTAAATTTATTTCACAAAATGTCTAGAGATGAAATCACTATTGTTCTGCTTCAAATTTGTTATTTTTACAAATATTTGTACAATCCCTTTAATGCTGGTTAACATTATAAAATTTCTTGGTTTAATCCCTTTAAACCTGTTCAAATGTGACAACACAGAAGTTTAAACCATGTGGATCCCAGACTCCTAATCCAGCAGAGCAAACTTTAAATCAAATCTGTCTTGATACAACCTTACAATACGGTAGTTATCAGAAAACTGTGGACTAGTTGTCGTCTTTCTTGATTTTCTTTTAAAATAACAAGATCGCTACTTGGATTTTCATCCTATAATTGATTTAAATATTTTTGAAAAAGTCAGAACTTGATTAATTTAAAGTTTTCAGTTTTAGTTTGAACGATTTTAAATAATTATTTAATGGTTTTTAAACCAACAATCAATAAATGTATGTGTTCGGACATACTTAACTCTAGCGTGATGTGAATAAAAAATAATAGAATTTGATCGCTCCTCGATATTCAAGAATGGAACTACCCTGCAAGAAGAACTATAAGGAATCAAGCATTGATCTCCATCTTGTGCAGACCGACCGATGTGATCGCTCCTCGATATTCAAGAATGGAACTACCCTGCAAGAAGAACTATAATGGATCAAGCATTTATACTCAAATTTAAAATCGCCCCTATTGGATATCAAAAGCAAGCGTTCAATATAAACGATACTCTATACTAAAGTTCCGACCTGAGCTCAGGGCACATGTTAATAAATAAATCAATTATAAATAACAAAATCTCTATTGCGAGATTACAAAATGAAAGGATTGATAGAAAAGCAACGTCTATAATTCCACTGTTCAAAATAATAATAAAAATAATTTAATTGTTTGCTTTGACTGTTCCTGTATCTCTGGCTTTGTCGGATATTTTGAGAAGACATGTTACATCATTTTTCAGATTCTCGTTGTAATCTCCTAAATATCTCGCCTGCTCCTCTAAACAGTAAACAAACATTAAGATTAATAGAAGATTAAAAATTGATCGTTTCGTAACATTGACTAATTGACAAGCCTTCAACTCAAATTTTCTACAATGCGTTCTAAACCTATTTTTGTTTTTTAATTTTTTTAACCATTAATTTTGTTTTATTTCAGGATCTCTCTTCAACTTGTCTAGAGTTCAATAGAAAAATTTATCCTTATTCTTTTTACAACTGAGATAAAGTTCCCAACCTGTGAATATACATCTTTGCAAGCTGGTTATGTAAACCTTGGATAATTTTAATGTTTGACAATTTTATCTGACAGAATTCATTGTTTGAAAAATCGACATACGGATCAGAAATTTATAGTAGGAGAGTTATCATTTTCTTTATTTCTTGAAAAAGGATGATTTTACCTAAACTTTCTGCATATTCTTTAATCTCCATGTTGTCCTGTTCCAGTTTTTCAATCTTCTCTCTCATTTCCTTCTCTATGGACCTTATTCTCTCCATCCAATCCTCCTCCTTCTCCTTCAGTTCCCGTTCTTGTCTTTCTCTACATTCCATCACCATGTTACACAGCTGTCGGTCTTCATGAAAATCTACATCTTGAAGGTTCGCTGGACCCTGGGGTAAAACGAAAAAGATGAAATTTTCTAATTTTAATTTTCTTCTTTAAAAGATTCTCGGGCTATTTTTATAGAAAAATAACTTTTGAGTTGGATTCTCAAACTCCCGTTTGCTTCATCTCGATATCCACTATATGGACACTTTTAATTTGAGAATCAATGCTTAATCTCTTGATTTCAGTTATTCCTTCAGGGTATGATTACCATGCGGGATATCGAATAAAGATTAAAATAATCTGAAGCTCGAGAGCGAGCATTTATCTTTATATCCACAATACAGGAGTTACCATTTTTGGAAGATTTTACATACCTGTAATCTTTCTTCACAAGTTTTCTCCGTCCCATTCTCATATTTCTCCGTCCCATTCTCATATTTCTCCGTCTCATTCTCATATTTCTCCATCCCATCATCAACTTCAAAACTACTCTCACAGGATCTATTTAGGAATAAACCTTAGACTTTATAATATAATATATAATGTTTTGAAATATGAAACCTGATAATGCTAAGTGTATCTAATAATTTGCTGTTATGCTCCGTCTTTTCTGTGAATTCATCCCTTTCCAGGTCCTTGTTCCTACCCATGTGTTCAATGCTACCCGGATCTGGACGGATATACTTTGGTTTCTCCTGTTCTCTCCGGGTCCTGTTTAATGTCTCTACAAGCCTGCTGTTCTGATCCAGCAGCGTCCTTCAGTAAATAAATATATTTATAAATACATGTAGCTTGGAAACACAACTATCCCTGGAGATCTGTACATTTTTGCAAAGCAACCAAAGAACATTTCCCTGGTGATTACGAGTTGATAATCAAAATTTGAAGCAAATCGGTGAAGGGAGTTATGAGCTGTGATCAGACATACAAACAAACAGACAGACAAACAAACAGACAGACAAACAAACAGACAGACAAACAAACAGACATGCAAACAAACAGACAGACAAACGACGGAGATTACTACACCTTTTAGATGTAGGGGTAGCTTATCTATTTTTGTTTTGTTTTACAGATTTAATAACCAACATAGCCATAGCCTTTTAGGTGTTAATTGCAGTTTTGTGGCTTTAATTGCTGTATAATTTCAATCCATAACAACATAGATTAAATTAAACTACATGAAACATATATATACTCTGTAACTTAATTTATTTTTGATTCTCTACAATTTTTGTAGTTTTAGCACCAGGTGATTGGAAGAATAGAAAAATATTAAAAAGTGTCGCTTCTCAACTCTACGACCTGGACGAAAATAAACCAATTTTGAAAACTAGGCTGGGAGATTTTGGTAAACTAGGCTTCTAAGAACCCCCCCCCCCCCACTCCGGTGATTGATTTAACTTCTGTGGTATTCTTTACGCCCGATCATTACTCGTGAACCCCTTCACCAATTTGCCTCAAATTTTGATTGGGGAGCACAAAAGAACCCCAGGAATGTTCTTAGTATGTTTAAGAAATTCTAAGTTAGGGTTCTTTTTTAGAGAAATAATAGTTTTCAGGCAAAGCTGGGTTAATGTTTTGAAAATCTATGCTTTTTTATTAATAGCTCCTTTTTCACGAATACCTGAGCCAAACTGCCACAGTTTCAGGTCTGATTCCGTCCCTTAGAAAACATTCTCCTCTAATAAACTCCCAAGCTTCTTGTTTCAACCTTCTCCTGGAGCTAACTTTGCTTCCTGAACTATCGGAGAAATTCGAACCTATCTCAGGGATCATTTCAACACCGGGGATAGATTCAGAGTCGGAGAAGGTTTCACACTCCGTATTCAGATCATTGTTTGAGTTTGGGTTTAATGTGTTCTGGTTTAGATCTGTCAAGTTGTCCTCAACCTCAACCTGGAGCAGAGTAGAGTTCGGATCATTTTGGATGGATTTCGTTTTCTTATTCCTCCGTCCTCCATGTTTTTTTCTTCTTTCCATCTTAAAAAATCAAATTGTTTACATATTGATAATACGTCGGAGCTGAGAACTATAAACAACTTAACGAAATATGACTATACAAGCTGATCTCCACAGAGGGGTCAAAATTTCTAGATTTTATTCAACTCATAGGATGCATTTCTGTATTACTCTTCCATATTAAGAACTTATAGATCTCACTTAAAAATATCCTAATCATACATTTTATTCCCCACTTTTCAAATTGGTAAATCTAACTCCCTATATACCCAATTTAAATATGTTATTTCCTATAGTATCTACATTGTACAATGAACATGTCATTTATCTAAATTTCAAACATTCCATTTATAAATTTTACTAGCAATTTTAAGTATTTACAAATAGACTCCACTATCTATCTCTTTATCAAATATCTAGATTTATCTCCCCACACATCAAATATATATATTTGACTCCTCACATATCAATTATATATCTATTTCACTCTCCACACATCAAATATTTATATTTGACTCGTCACATATCAAAAATCTATATTTCACTCACCACATATCAAATAGTTATATTTCACTCAACACATATCACATATCTATATCAGACTTCTCACATATAAAATATCTACATCATACTTCTCACACATCAAATATCTATATCTAACTTCCCACACATCAACTATATATATATCTAACTCCCCACATATCAAAAATCTACATTAGACTTACTTCTCACATAATAAATATCTGTATTTGACTGCTTACATATCAAATATCTATATTTGATTTCTCACATATAATATATCTTTGATTTCACTCCTCACTCCTCACATATCAAATATCTATATCAAACTCCCCACACATAATATATCTATATATATAACTCACCACATATCAAATACCTACATCTAATTTCCCACATATCAAACATCTATATTTCACTCCCAACATATCAAATATCTATATTATACTTCTCATATATCAAATATCTTTATTTGACTTCTCATATATCAAATATCTATATTTAACTCCCCACATATCAAATGTCTATATTTAACTTCGCACATATCAAATATCTAAGATTCAATGCTTGTGTGTAAAATTAAATTTATAATGAACTATAATATAGATATGTATGTGCTATGTATATTGTATTCAGTGGGGAAAGTGTGCTTGAAATTATATCTAGAAAATGACTGACTAAGATTTGAAACCACGAAACCGAAAGTTTCTCACAAACTGAAACTTCATGCTAGTATTTAAACGTCTTCCTGCATCTGTTTGTTTGTTTGTCTGTCTGCTTGAATGAACCAATGCGCGTAATTTGCGCACTGTTCTACGTGCACTGAGTGCGAATACGCAGAATGTTTTGAAAAGTAGAATAATAGAAATGTCATTACAACTTAATGACTGGATAATATAGTCTACTATGTTACTTTTCTAAACCTGAGTTCTTATAATTATTAACCACATATTTTTAAAACTCCTGTTTTTATGCCCTTTTAGGTTCAAAACACTATAAAAAAAAATATTTTATTTTTCTGTTTGTAGTTTTTGAAGAAGTCGAAAGCAACTGTCAGAGACATTTTGTAAGTTAGTGAATAAGATTGAAAGGTGTACAGTGATACAGGAGAGGAAAGCAGCGAATCCTGCCAAATTTTAGCGCGCAGGACATATTGACGCATTCTTTGTTATTTTGGCGGAATTTTGGGTACTGCAGGGCATGTTGACGCATTCTTTGTTAAATTGGCGGAATTTTGGGTACTGCAGGACATATTGACGCATTCTTTGTTATATTGGCGGATTTTTGGGTACTGCAGGACATATTGACGCATTCTTTGTTAAAATGACGGATTTTGGGTACCGTAGGACATATTGACGCATTCTTTGTTAAAATGACGGATTTTGGGTACCGTAGGACATATTGACACATTCTATATCTTTTTAAATGGTGAATTTCAGTGTAGAAGAGTAGGAGACTGTCCCATTTTTGGTTTAATCCTCTGATTTTTTACTTTATTTAGATGGTGTAGACTGTAGAGTGTATATGATACCCGTTCTTTGTTGAATTTGGTGGATTTTAATGGAGTTCAGGAAACTGTCACATTTTTTAGAGATTTATATGGATTCAACAATGTTTTAAATCTAATAAGTTATCTAAGCTAAAAATCAAGAAAATATTTATAAAATCATAATTATGTAACAACTGCTTCGTATTTCATTCATCTCTAAAAACTAGATCAGAAATAGATGTTTTCTAGCTTTTCAGATGCTCTGCAGCTGTACTTTTAAACAGATTCTTTTTAAATATGATTCACAAAGTTAACCTTTTTATATTTATTTTTTACTAGCGAAGTGCCCGGTGTTTCCCGTGGAATCTTTAATATCATTCAACAGTCGGTCAAATTGATAAATCTGAGAATTAAGCCACCTTTCCTAAGTTACCCAGGTGGCAATTGTAACATTTTAATCTTTTTATTGCTCTTTAAGTGACATGGTTTGGCAGAATAGAATAGAAAGATGACAATACTTATATGTATTTGTCGATATTGTTATAGTTTTAAGTTAATCACAAAACAGGTTTTGACATATATACAGACGTAGCTAGGCTAGATTAATCGCATTACAAGTTTTGTGTAGTTAATGATAAGCGCATTTGGGATTTACAGACAATGTACAAAGTAATATATCTAGATATGTTCAAGTTAACAAATATAGGGATTGCTGTCATGTATTACAAGCTTGTACAGTACACCGCACAGATGTTTTGTTTCATGTTCTTAAGAATTTTAAGATAATAGTCGTCTTCCTTTTCCACAGTTTTCTTGTTGTTTCTGCAGTTCTGTTTTCTATACAAGATGTAATTATGTAAACACAGTTTTCTTGTTCTTACTTCAGTATATTCTGCTGTTCTGCTTTCTATACAAGATGTAATTATGTAAAACACAATTCTTTTTTAATAAAATAAATGTAAGCAAGAAAAAAGTTTATTTAAAAATGTTTAATTATCGGGATAGGAATCTCGAATACTACAGATTTGGATGAGTTCATTTCTGTCATATCGTCTTTCAATCTAAACAGTAATTATAGGTTTACAGGGAAGGTTTGGCGAGTAAAAAATAAAAGAATGTGACCGGAAAAAGCAACATTCTAACGTTAAATGTGCTATGACGCCCTTAAAGCCTAATTATCTATAAATGTATATTCTATACCTTTAAAAGAATGTTAATTTCAGGATAGTAGAGAACTTTTTGATTCTGAAAAATAAAATTTTATTATAAAAAGAGAGTCTCAATAGATATGGGAATTTGTTTGAGACTTTTTGTTATCTTCAAAAAATGGTGATTATTTTTGGAAAATGAAATATTGTGACTCAATAAATATAAAAATGTCTGAATATTTTTAAGATTTTTTTATTCACAGGGTGTCTCTCGAAGCATGACAGTTGGTGAATGGTTTCAATGTCTTCTTCCATGTGCTATATAAGATATTAAATCCCTTTTGCAGTTTATTGCGTATCAAACAACTTAACAACTTATGGAAGAAGACACTTAAAACTATTCACCAACTGTCATGTTTTGTGGAACACCCTGTACCTTTGAAAGAATATAGCAGTCTAAAGCTGTGTTGAGTGTGTACATTCCTAGATATATATTCGGAAACTATAACTTATTCTATCCAAGGTACTAATGCATGGAAAGTTAATTGCGGTCGCGTATACTCTGCGTACATATTGAAACCGTTCTCTCTGGGCGGAATTTGTAAACAAGAATAGATGCATCAGAATATTTAAATAGATTATTTTTGGGAAAATTGATTCCATGTCAGGCTGTGACATCCGTCTTGTGTTTACTTTTCCGCCCAAAGGCAGTACACTGCAGTACAAAAAATGTGTACACCTCTGAAATAACTTTCCTTGCATTAGTACCTTGATTCTATCTATATATATCAACTCATGCATGCCTGTCTGTTTGTTTCTATCCAATAAACGGCAAAACGACATTTTTACCTGTACTTATGTCGAATACACATTTTTTAAAATGGCATTTTGTTTCCTCTGGAAGCTTCATATCCTGTAATAAGCAGCTTTTTAAAAAACTGTTTAGTGTCTATCCATTTAAAATTGTCTCCCAAACTATTTGTGTGAACTCTAAAATGTACCCGAACTATCTGCATGTACTGTAATGTGTACCAGAACTACCTGCATGTACTCTCATATGTACCCAAGGTACCTGCATGTACTGAACCCAAACTATCTGCATGCACTCTATTAAGTACCCAAAATAACTATTTGTACTCTAATTTTTATATAAACTATTTAAAGGTACTCTAATATGTTTCTGTAATCATCAGCGTGTACTGTAATATGTATCCAAACTAGCTGAGTACCCGAACGATCTGAATATGCGTCTATTGTGTACCCGAACTAGCAACATACTATAATGTGTACCCTAACAAGCAGCATTGACTCTAACTAGCAGCATGTACTTTAAAATGTACCCGAACTATCTGCATGTACTGTAATATTTACCCGAACTAGCAGCATATACTCTGACTAGCAGAATGTACTCATGTATATACCCGAACTAGCAGCATGTACTATAATATGTATCCGAACTAGCAGCATGTACTGTAATATGTACCCTGACTAGCAGCATATACTCTGACTAGCAGAATGTACTCATGTATATACCCGAACTAGCAGCATGTACTATAATATGTATCCGAACTAGCAGCATGTACTGTAATATGTACCCTGACTAGCAGCATATACTCTGACTAGCAGAATGTATTCATTTATATACCCAAACTAGCAGCATGTACTGTAATATGTACCCTAACTAGCAGCATATACTCTGACTAGCATAATGTACTCTTATATGTACCCGCACTAGAAGCATGTACTCTTTAACCATCTCCAAACATGTTTGTTCATCAAGAACACTAGAGACAACTTCCAACCAATCAATCTCATCCTGCAATAAACCAAAAAACAGTGCTCAGTACAGAAAGTAAACATTCAGTTAATATTTCCATTTACTGTTAATTGTTTTAGCGCCGATATAAGGATTTATCTCTAATTGGATAATGAGCTAGATAGAAAGATAGATGTAACCGCCATGCAATTTCTATTGGTTCAGAATAGGCACCAAACATAGGGCTGAACCCTGATTGGATCAGGCGCTAATTGATTTAACTTACTAGAGTGGGAAGAACCCCTCAGTATTTACTAAACCACAAAAGAGTGAAAAAGGACTATTTAAGATTTCTTGTCTGAAAGATAACTTGCAAGAAAAAAACTCTGGTTAGGTGTAGAGGGCTTTAAAAGTGTTTTTTAAAACAATACCTTGTCTACTTGGTCTGCATCCTTCATTTTATCTGTTCCATTGGAAGAGTACATCTTTTCTACTTTGTTTTTGTTCAGGTTCAGTTTTTACTCAGGGGGGAGAATCTACATTTTTCAGGTTGCATGTTCAAACATAGGTTTAAGTTATTTGTACATTCCATATTTCTCCTGGTTCTATATTCAACTATAGGTTCAGGTTCTGTGTATGCTTCTCCGGTCTTTAATAATCAACATAGGTTCAGGTGTCATGTATATTTCTCCAGGTTCTATATTCAACTATAGGTTCAGGTTCTGTGTGTGCTTCTCCGGTCTTTAACAATCAACATAGGTTCAGGTTCTGTGTATATTCCTCCGGTTTCTATATTCAACTATAGGTTCCGGTTCTATGTATGCTTCCCTGGTCTTTAATTATCAACATAGGTTCAGGTGCTGTGTATATTCCTCCAGGTTCTATATTCAACTATAGGTTCAGGTTCTGTGAATGCTTTTCCGGTCTTTAATAATCAACATAGGTTCAGGTTCTGTGTATATTCCTCCAGGTTCTATATTCAACTACAGGTTCAGGTTCTGTGAATGCTTCTCCGGTCTTTAATAATCAACATAGGTTCAGGTGCCGTGTATATTTCTCCAGGTTCTATATTCAACTATAGGTTCTGGTTCTGTGTATGCTTCTCTGGTTTTAATAATCAACATGGGTTTAGGTGCCGTGTATATTTCTCCAGGTTCTATATTCAACCATAGGTTCAGGTTCTGTGCATGCTTCTCCGGTCTTTAATAATCAACATAGTTTTAGGTGCCGTGTATATTTCTCCAGGTTTTTATTCAGCCATAGGTTCCGGTTCTGTGTATGCTTCTCCGGCGTCTTTAATAATCAACATAGGTACAGGTTCTGTGTATATTTCTCATGGTTCTATATTTAACTATAGGTTCAGGTTCTGTGTTTTGCTTCTCCGGTCTTTAATAATCAACATAGGTTCAGGTGTCATGTATATTTCTCCAGGTTTTATATTCAATTATAGGTTCAGGTGCCGTGTATATTTCTCCAGGTTCTATATTAAACTATAGGTTCTGGTTCTGTGTGTGCTTCTCCGGTTTTTAATAATCAACATAGGTTTAGGTGCCGTGTATATTTTTCCAGGTTCTATATTAAACCATAGGTTCAGGTTCAATGTATGCTTCTCTGGGTTTAATAATCAATTGTAGGTTCAGGCTTTATGTTACCTTCTCAATGTTATATATTCAACCCATACATTAAGTTCAATTCCAACTTTTCTGGGTTCATTACTAGTACTCCTTTAGGTTTTATATTTAATCTTCGGATTGGGTCTTATTAGTCTCTCTGCAGGTTTTTGATTTAACGAAAGGTTCAGTTTTATATTGATATTAAGTTAATATCAATTAATATTTCGCTTAACGGATGATTGTTATATTAATTTTGTCCAGCTTCTCCGGGATCTACACTCAACTGAAGAAATGACTCAACCTAGTTCTCACAAAAACTGATTTTTCAGATAAAAACAATAATTGAAAATTGGAGAACGATTTGCACAAACAATATTTTTTTAAATTTTTATCAGTTTAACTTAATCTATAAATATTTTTTGTGGTTTAACTCATAGATTCTTTAGTGCTAAGCAAAACAAGCGGAAATTATTATTTTTTTATTTTTTATTTTTACAAAAAGATCAAAGATATAATCAGAACAAAATAAAGATGTATAATTAACTCCTATAATTAACTCCTTGTACCTACCCTTTAGGACAAAAAGTAAACTAGTAAATTATAGAAAACAGATTTATTTGACAAGATAGATCACGAAATACAAATCTGGGGAAACCTTTGACTCATCTTTCAATTCTTCACAAATTAAAAGAAAAAATAGGTTGTCTTTGTTTTCTGATCGCGATGCTTTTCATCAGCTAATTTTCAATAGTTTAAGTATAGGGTTACAAAAAATAGGTAAGCTTTAAAGATATTTATATTTCATTTATTTATTCGATTATATTCACTATATATTTTTGTGTCGATTTATAGTCTTTCATTTTAGCCCGTAAACAATACCATCTTCTATTTTAATTTCAAACATTTTCTCTTTGTATACATTGTAAAACAATAAAAAAGTTCGCGGATTTTATAAAAAATTTGGAGGATTTTCCGAATTTATTCAGAATCAAATTTTGTTGGAGGCTAAATGTTGAAATTTTGATCATCCATAAACCTTCCCTGGGGTTATGTAAGGTTCCACGCAACATTTGGGCCCGATCGGTTCAGCCGTTTTGACGTTTATTGGATACAAACAAACAAACAGACACCCAATCAAAGGATATTTATAGAAGCTTTTGATTTTTAATCAGTTAAAATATGTATTTAAATCTTAAAATCTTCGACAAATTACTACGTGCATAAAGTGGTACGACTGCAATTATCTCTTCATTTTTAATTTTGAAGACGACATTAGTCTCTTCCAAACTGATGAGTATTTAAAGACGACATTAGTCTCTGCCAAGCTGATGAGTATTAGTTGGTTTATCTACCCTATAGCAGAGTTCTGCCAGGTTGTAGTAGCCTAGGTACTCAACCTCCTCAGGAGTAGTGTCGTAGTGATAGTGACCACCCTGACTATTCTCTCCCCAACCATGCCCATGTTCAACCCTCAGGTCTAGTTCAGGGTCCCTGAGTATAACAAAGTTAAATATCAGGATTTTAACAAGCCTTGGATTTAAAGGGTTTAAAATAGATTAAATTTTGAAAATTAATTAATTAATATTGTGTTAAATAAGTGAAAAGAAATGGAATGTGGGTAAACATAAGATTTCCTACAATTGTAAAATAGATTTTTTCTTTGCCAAGTTATTAAATAAGCTATACACAAAGATAATAAATAAGTATTGAGTGGAATAAAGTCGAAAAAATGTAAAACAACGTATAATGTGTGAACATTTACATGAATTGTACACATTAAACTCCTTTTCAGGCTCAAAGGGACTGAGCAAATTCATACTGAGGGATAGGCTTATTTCCCTTCTATTCTAATCTCTGTTCTGTGGCTATAAAGACTAAATTTAAGACAGAAGACTATATTTAACCTTGAAATCGTCATATTTTCATAATTTCAAGTCGTCTTTAAAGTCTCATTCTTTGTGGTTATCTCTGTAGATGCGTACCTGGATATCAGAGTGGAGAGAACTGTAAAGGGTGAAGACATCTCATAGAACTTTAACCAATTATTCAAATCCTCGTCAGTGTTTATGGGACATGGAGAAAAGTCGGGCATCACATGGATCCAGACTTTACCCTGGAGAATTTTAAAAACTCCTCCCATACCAACCGTCAACTCTTCTCCATAGTAGGCATTCAACACCTCCCGCATACAGGTCACAAAGTTCTTTTCTCCCGTCCGTACCTTACAGTGGACCTTGAGAACCTTTCCGGGTTCTCCGGAGCACAGAAACAGGTTTCCTAGAACTGCATTCCTTGTCTCCGACTCCGGCAGCTTCAGAGTCTCGTAGGATCCGTCCTCATCGTTCGTCCTCGTAATATGAGTCCTCTGGATAATCGTTTTGTCCTGTTTGACGAACAGGTTCGGCATCATCTCCGAGTTCCTGTTTATATAGGGCCAAGGTCCAGCTCCAGCTCCGATCATCATCCCTTCACTTAGTCCTGTCAGCTGAGGATAGTCTCTCATATCATACAGTTTCTCTCTCATCACAGTTGGGATTAGGAACGGAGGTCCTCCGACATCAAGAAGACGAGTATTACCTCCTAGTCCTTCACCAGCTATACCCCACTCACGGAGGTCAGGACAATCGACCGCCACGACCTCGACCTCGGCAAAGTTCTGACGGAGTCCGGCCTGGAGGACCTCGGCAACCTCTTGAAGGGGAGGAAGGTGTAGAATACGTTTCTCTACAGGAAGGGTAGCAGGATCCAGGGTTGCCATGTTGACTCAGTGTAACTTTACAAACTAGTTTATTAACTTCAGAATATTTGATTTATTACTGCCAACTGTCTGAACAGAAGCGAGCAAGGGAGAGAGAGATAAAAAAGGGGGAGTTTTAAACCTGTCTTATCTTAGGGAGTTGACAATAGATGTGGCGGTGGCATTTAAAGTTAAACTAAAGAATAAAAAGTCTGCCAACAAAAAAATATTTTGTAGCTATATTTAATTGTTTAACCTTCCTTCGAGCTGAATCTATAGTAAAATTCTTTTTTAACCACTTTTACATTAATCATTTTTAAAGACTCTTTTGGTTATTATTTTTTCTTGCAATTTTTAATTTCTTCATCTGATTCTTTCTTTTCTCTTCTTTCTGTTCTCTTAGTTCCTTTTGTTTGCTATTCTCATATATTTTACTCTCACTACCTAACCATATTCAATTCTACAAATTGCACAACAAATGCCCTCGTTTTGTAATCTTGATTTCGTAAAGTAACAAAAATTAAGACGACATTTAGAAAACGATCAAAAGCAGATATAAAGAAAGGAATTTTCTCAAGAGTTATGAAAAGAGAAACGGCAAAAAAAATCTAAATAAAGGGGAATAAATATAAATCGAAAAAAGTGTGGAAAAAGTGAAGGTGTTTATATTGAAAAGAAAAGTGCAGAAGAAAATCTGAAAAATGAATAATTAAGGATTAGAAAAATAAAAACGAACAAAAGAGAATAAATAAAATCAGAAAAAAGAGGAATTTCATAAAAAATTGAGAAAAGAGATAATAGAGTACCTGATAAAGGAGTACTTGATAAAGAAGTACCTGATAAAGGAGTACATGATAAAGGAGTACCTGATAAAGGAGTACCTGATAAAGGAGTACCTGATAAAAAAAAAAGTTACAGAGGTGGAAAATTGGGATTAATGAATTTTGAAAAAAAAAATTTAAAATTTTTAAACGCTTTGGGAGAAAAACAGAAAATACAAATGATAAGAACTTTGTAGAGAATTAAATTCCGTTAAAAAAGAATTGCTGGATAAAAATAAAGATTAAAAAAGGTTAAATAATTGAGTAAAGAAATTAAAAGAAATGAACGATGTTAAAAAAAATAAGGGAAGGGAAGGGACTTGGAAATGGATTAGAGAGAATTAAAATAAAAAAGATGGCCGAGTTAATAACAAAAAAAAAGTGTTAGACAATTTAAAATAAAAAATGATTGTGAAAGATAATAAAATAAAAAAGAAGTGAAAGATAATAAAATAAGAAAGAAGTGAAAGATAATAAAATAAAAAAGAAGTGAAAGAAAATAGAATTAAAAAGAAGTGAAAGATAATAAAATAAAAAAGAAGTAAAAGATAATAAAATAGAAAAGAATTGAAAGATAATAAAATAAAAAAGAAGTGAAAGATAATAAAATAAAAAAGAAGTGAAAAATAATAAGATAAAACAGAAGTTAAAGATAATAAAAAATAAAAGAAGTGAAAGATAATAAAATATAAAAGAAGTGAAAGATAATAAAATAAAAAAGAAGTAAAAGATAATAAAATAAGAAAGAATTGAAAGATAATTAAATAAAAAAGAAGTGAAAGATAATAAAATAAAAAAAAAGAAGTGAAAGATAATAAAATAAAAAAGAAGTGAAAGATAATAAAATAGAAAAGAAGTGAAAGATAATAGGATAAAAAAAGAAGTGGAAGATAATAAAATAAAAAGAAGTGAAAGATAATAAAATAAAAAAGAAGTGAAAGATAATAAGATAAAAAGAAGTATAAGATAATGAAATAAAAAAGAAGTGAAAGATAATAAAATAAAAAAGAAGTGAAAGATAAAAAAATAAAAAAGAAGTGAAAAGATAATAAAATAAAAAAGAAGTAAAAGATAATAAAATAAAAAAGAAGTAAAAGATAATAAAATGGTCGAGGAGAGGTTGGAGAGCTTGTATGAGGATGGAGACTATTAACTTTACAGTCCTCTCGCCAAATCTGTTTTCAATATTTGCCAACCTCTAAATATCAGACTAAATCCGTCAAATTCATCAATTAATACATCCAACCATCCAACCACCTAAATCCTAAACCTTGCCAAAAGTTGATTTTTAGTTGATCAAATCAGAACTCAACCCTTCGGCACAGAATGTCAATTTATCAAAAAACTTTTATCTATCATGGAAAAAAGGAATGTTCAGGTATCTTAAATGAGGTTTGGACCGCTTTTCAGAAATTCCCACCCTTAAGGAATCTAAAACGGTGAAATCCCAAATTTATCTCCATGGTAAGTGGAGAGGGAATAGAAAGAATTTTTCAGATTTGCGTTGACGAAAAACTTATTTCTCAATTAAAATATTTTGTATAGATATACAAAATGTATATACAAAATGTATACACTAAATCTGAACAAAAATATATAGTAAAACCCTTCATAACGATCTACATCGAAAGAATTCATCAAATATCGTATTCTTCACTTTCTGATAATGGAATGTTGCAGATATTTAGTTTTTTAATTAAATGATTACATGAAACTTTTAAAAACTGTTCCCGCATATTCATGGCTATTTATTTGTTTTCGCAAATACTGAAATTTACGTATTATGCTATAAAACTCGTTGTAAAATTGTCAAGACGACATTTGATAAATTCTTCCGATGTATTCGTTATTAAGGGTTTCACTGGAGTTTTACTAATGTTAGGATAAAATACTTGTCCTTCAATCAGAAAGGTTCCATGAAAGGAATTGACTCTTTGCAACAAACTCTGATTTTCTAATCCCTGTATATTTGGATTCCAACGTCGTAAACCTTTGTAATTTCAAACTATGACTTTTGTTAGATCAAAAGATATAAGTTTGAGATATCAAAGGTTTACGACATTGGGTTCCAAAGATATTGGGATTAGAAAATCAGAGTTTGTGGCAAAGAGTCAATTCCTTTCTAATCCAATAAAAATTGGAAGATGAATAAAAAATGGAAAAAGTGAGATGAATAAATTGTTAGAAAAAGCAGATGTTTCCTTGCTGTAGCCTATCTGTAGAATATATTATCCAGGAATATAAAACCTTATCTGACTCCGGCATAGAGATATACAGGGTACTACCCACAAAGAATGAGACTTAAGAGACGACTGTGCGGAATTTGTACTCTCTGTTTCCTTGTTTGCATGATCCCCTGCAGCTATAAACTCCTTTCTTTGTTTGACAGGTTATAAAATAAGCTATTTAAAGACCATATTTAAGGTAGAAAACTTAATTTTTATTTAGAATCGGCATATTTGAAAAGTTTCAAGTCGTCTTTACAATATCATTCTTTGTGGGTAACCCTGTATCTGTATCCATGTATAGAAAAGAATAGGATATCTGACTCCGGTGTATGGATATATCTGTATCAAAGGATAGAATAGAATATCTGACTCCGGTGTATGGATATATCTGTATCCAAGGATAGAATAGGATATCTGTTTCTAGTGTATGAATATATCTGTATCCAAGGATAGAATAGGATATCTAACTCCGGTGTATGGATATATCTGTATCCAAGGATAGAATAGGATATCTGTTTCTAGTGTATGAATATATCTGTATCCAAGAATGGAATAGGATATCTGACTCCGGTGTATGGATATATCTGTATCCAAGGATAGAATAGGATATCTGACTTCGGTGTATGGATATATCTGTATCCAAGGATAGAATAGGATATCTGACTCCGGTATATGGATATATCTGTATCCAAGGATAGAATAGACTATTTGAATAGAGATATATATCTTTATACACGGATAGATTATCAAGCATGCAGGATTTAGTTCCGGAGGTTTTTTATTTTAATCCTTTAAATATTGTAAAACTAAAAATTTCCCAGATTTTCCTTTCTTGATTGGTGAATTTTTAGAATTGACAAATCAAAATTTTTACTCTGGCTCCCCCATTATTTTGGCAAACACACCTTTCAATCTTAACTTAGAAACAAGCACACTGCATATTTAAAATGTATATGTCTAGGGCTACAAAAAGAGTATAAGTGAGTTGGTGAGGTAAAACCAAAGACCAAGGCGTTACAACACTTTAAAGTCGAGGCTGTATAAAAACTAAGTTTCAGAATTGTCTGTATATATCTCTAAGGTGTATGGTTTGATATATATCTCTAAGGTGTATGGTTTGGTATATATCTCTTAGGTGTATGGTTTGGTGTATAACCATTTAAAATTTCTACTCCAATTGGAGAAATTTATAACGAACAAAAAATATTTAACAATTAGTTACAATAAAAGAATTGATCGTCTTTGCCACAAATTCTGATTTTTTAATCCTTATATCTTTAGAACCCAATATCGTAGACCTAAGATATTTCAAATGATGAATCGTGTTAGTTCAGATGATCTAAGTTTGAAATATGAAAGATTTACACCATTAGATTGGCAAGATATAAGCATTAGAAATACTGAGTTTGTGGCAAAAACTCAATTCCTTTATGTTCTTCACAGGGAGAAAAAAATGTTTTTTTTTGTTAAATTGAATTTAGCAATGTGTTGCTCTAATAAGATGAGTTGCCAAAATTGATTCTATTATTTTTGGATTAGAGAATGGATTTAAAAATGGTATCCCTAGGATTATAAAATATAACTTTGCATGGATGGCATTTTAAAAAAAGATAAATCTATAATTGCTTTCACAATTCTTAAATCATTAAATGTCATCAAGACATGGAAACATTGGTCTGATGGTGGAGTTTGGGGGGGGAAAGTTTATTATGCATTAATTAATGATAATTTACAACATCTTTTAAATATTGCAAAACTTTTCCAGGAAGTTCAAAAATGTCAGTTGTGTTAAGAACAAAAATAAAGATGAAAAGGAACTCAAAACTGTCAAAATTAATGCGTTCAGAAATAAGCATTTTAAAAACAATTAACAAGTTGCAATTTGTAAAAAATGTTTTTTAGAACTAATCATTATTTTGTGAACATCCTGTAATATATTAGTGACCAAACTATAATGATCTAATTAAACTTGAGATTATAATAGCGTCGAACAATCTTGGCCTCGGTTAATAGAAGTCTGTCAGAGATTGACAAGTATGGGGAGGGGGGTCTTACATTTTTGATCTTAA